GAACATCGTTGGCCGTCTCTTGCACTCGGTCACAAAAGGAGAAACCTATGCTTGTCTTGGACAACTATGTATTCTAGCTGAATAAAGTGGGGCCAAGCACGAAATACTGGACATATAAGTTATATTCAATGGATGTTCTGCGAAGGCTAATACTACTGTGGAGAACAAATCGGCGAACACTGTCATCCTGCCGAAGAAGAAAAAGCCGTTCGTGAATTTCGTGCAAGATTGAAAGCACGGTCTATCCAAGAAACTACACCTATCCCACGCATATACGATAAAGAGTGTGAAAAGGTTATTCTGTCACTGGCTACGATGTCGATTCTACCGAGTAAACGAGAAATGAGTGACCGAGTGTTTCTAGGAAGAGCAATGAGAATGGATTGAATTTTCTTTTGCTTCCCAGATAGTGTAGTCAACATGGCACGTCGTCGAGCTACACCTACGATTCCCACAACACAGCTATTTGATATACCTGATCTCTGTACGAAAACGTTGAGAAACGATGTCTCTCTGATCGTTGACAAGATGATCATAGTGCGGCAGAGAATGATTCTATTTTCATCGGCTGAACAATTGAATTTACTCTTCTCATGGATGGAACGTTCTCATCCTGTCCGAAAATATTCGATCAAGTCTATACCATCCATAGTATAAAATATGAAGAATGTAAGTCAACGCAGTCCCTGTCATCGATCTTAGTACATCTGATCCACGTAGCGTTTCCTTGCGTCTTCAGATTACTGCCAAAAAAATGGAAGACGACGTATCAATTCCTGATCCGTGAGTTGAAAAGCATCGCTGATCAAATGAAACTCGAGTTTACGCCGAAAATCGTGATGAGTGATTTTGAAACGGCTCTAGTGAGTGCGGTGAAGACTGAGGTAAATGTTTCATTTCCTAAGACTAGTTGGCACGTTTCACTTCCTTTGCTTTTCAGTTCAGCACCGCAGCACATCTGTCGTGCTATTTCCACTTCACACAGGCGGTTTACAGGAACATACAGCATCTCGGATTGACCTCTTCCTACAACACCGACGCTGATGTGAAGCATTTCTGCCGGAAAGTAATGGTGCTGCCATTGCTACCAGAGCTGATCATCGAGGATACATACGACGAACTGACCAATTCTTTACCGGTGAGAATGAGAGAAACGATGCCAGGTTTTTTGAATTATTTCCAAGGCCAATGGTTGGACAAAGTTCCTGTTAGTCAGTGGTGTGTCCATGGTCTGTCTATGCGAACGAACAACAACGCTGAAGGTACATCTTCGTCTTCATCCTCGCTTTACTTTGAAAGAGTCTCATTCGTTTAGCGTTTCACAGTCGTTTCAATCGTCGGGTGCAAATTCATCATCCGAACATCTGGTCGTTCATAAAGTTTCTTCGGGGAGAAGAGAACCGCTTCCATCACATGTTTACTCAATTCAAGGCAGGCTTAGGTGTTAGGAACAAACAAGCGAAAACACTTGCCATTCAACATCGCATAGATAATCTGGGAGAACGATATCGAAGTGGAACTATTACGGTGATGGAATACTTAGACGGTCTCTCCTATACAGTTGCCAAACGAAAACACTGATCTTCCTTTTTCTGTCAATCTGAACTCATGTTTAATCTCGACTATGATATTGTCTCACGATGAATAAAGAGTTTCTTCTTCAATTAAACTTTCGACGTTTCTCCTCGTCGGCCTTATTCCCTTCGTCATTGTTCCTTTCGACTATTTCTACCTTCTTCCTTTCGATATTAGTCCGTTCGGTCATTTTCCTTTCGGCCTAACGACGGCACACCATCTTTTGTTCACAACATTTCTTTATTGGTTGGCAAAGGAAGAGTTCTGATATTCACTGTGGGATATTATTGAACAGTATTCTATTTTCGCCTGCCAATTGAAGATCTGATCAGTGTGAAAATAAAAAAGCACTTTCTCACCTTCAGACCACGTCATGCTGAATAATGAATAAGCACACAAAAGGTATGCGTGGCGCAGTGGGATAATTAATCGATTGACGTCAGTCCGGGCGTTTCAGTAGAGGTAAACAAACAGAGAAAGGGAAAGCAAAAACATGCGCAATTGCCTGATCGGAGTCATGTGGTCGATGCATGCACACAGAGTGCGACATAGTGATTCATCATTCTTCTCTCGCTATGCTCTGATCTATCGAATGGCGGTGCCTAGGTAAAAAAGAGTGGCAAATACATTTTTCTCTCGTCTTGCTCAGGCCTACCGAGGGGCTTTGATTCAGGTGCAGATTAGCAAATGTATCTTTCTCTTACAGCGCTCTGTCCTACGAAGTGTCTCTGAGTAGGAAGGTAAGCAGCGAATAATATCTTTCTCTTGTTCAAAACAACCTGCACAGTCTCATAAAAGCGCGGCTCACTCGTTGTTTAAATCAGTATTAACGTTATCTCTTCATTGGAGTTAGAGCTTATCAACCTCTTCGAACCAACAGTGTATGCTTGCACGAATATGGAAGCCAAAGTTCTAGTCTCAGTAATAATCCTCCTGACTATAGTTGGTTTCAGCAGCCAAGCATCCAAACGGACGTGTCCTGAAGGTTGTACTGTTATACCTATTATTGGTGGTCCTAATAATGGTGGAACTCTTTTTACTTATCCTCCTTATGGTATAATAGAACAATCTCGCATCGTCATGAAGAAATGACAAATCTGCTAAACACTCCAAACTGAAGCTTTAAGAAAGTATTCTTTCTTTAGACTGCTGTGGCCTAAAGACAATATAGAAACAAATTTTCTAAATAGAAGTGAGATAGAGGTGATCTTTTATGACTTTTGAGGTTGTTTGACCGTCATTTATTGTGAACAAATAATTTTTTGGCTTTACTATGATCTAAGGATTGAATGAAGACTTTCTGCTATTATGCACAGATTTTGAAATACAGCAACGTTCTTTCGATCTTTGTCAGAAATTACCCTGTAAGAAAAACACAAATTTACATCTTTTATTTTTATTTACTTCTTTTATTTTTTATGCTATTTTAGTCACTTTGAGTTATTCTTTACCTGCCTTGATCGTGAAAGCAGACATTTTGTCATTGATTCAAGTACTAAAAAGCCTTGTTGGTCTCTCGATGAGTTAAGAGGCGCCAAAGATTGATCTTTTTTGAAAAAAGAGTATTGTTTTTCGCACCCATATTTTGATAGCCCACATGCTACCCTGTACGATCATATCAAATTTTTTCTTCCAACGTGTTTTTGTAATATTATTTTTATTGAATTTTTTCTTACAGTATTCGCCATTTAATAACAACGGATTCGAGTTTTTAAATCATGTATTAAAATATTTCACTCTTTTATCAGTGATGGAAAACTGACCGTATAGTTTTGGATAGAATAAATGACGCTCTATAAAATGGTTGGAACCTTTTCTCAAAAAATGCTGTAGGAACCTTCTTATTTTTTGCTGTAATAACGACTAGACATGCAGATCAGTTATGAAGTAATCATAGTTGAATTTGATATTTTGAAGAGTTTCATAGATGAAACTTTTCCTGCTATGTAGAATTGCAGAATAATGTTACCTCTACAAGATAAGATGTCGATGAGCTTTCCGATCTCATTTTGTCAAAAGATAGAGCCATTTTGCCAGGAAACAGTGTTTCGAACACAAGTTTTTCTCTGTAGAATACTTGTATTTTACATTTATTTTCATAGTTCAAACCATTCTGATTCTAGATCATAACAATCAAAATAATAAAAAAAAAACGGTCTTAGCAGAATTAGTCCTGTAAATCTTCAAATTCAGATTCTTTTAAAAATCACATGTCTGCTGGACATACATTAATGTTAAAATCTTCGTAAAAAACTATTTGATAGAACTGAGAAAACAAAACAAAGCGTGAGATTTTACAGAGTTAGAAACTGAAATTAAATAGCGTATTTTCAGATTTCCAGGATAAAATTAAATTAAAAATGCAGTTTCAAACTACAGAACAACGAAATTCACCCTAAAATCATTTTAGATAGTAGGAAAACCTCCTTATCTGAAAATGACAGATACATTTTAACATACGTTTTTTAGCACTCCTGATAGTTCTGATGATTACCCAGAGCGCTTTTGACCTGTTCGGACAATTACATCTCCTAGGGAACTCAATTACTATTCACCATGCTTACGTGCTTGCCTCAAAAGTTCAAATTTTACTTGTTTAGACTGACATTTACTCACAACAATCAGTGCCACTTATACTTTTATAAAGAGAAATTTTTCACGAACATATGAAGCAAGAAGAAGGATGTGTTCTATTAGACTGGACATATCGACAAAGTTATCTGCCTAAATTCTTAATCAAACACAGTTGTTTTTGTTACAAACTTTTGACACGCATGAGATAAAGAGACAATAGCAGTTTCTGATGGCTTCAGTGGCATGCAAAGACTAGTTTAACGGCGTAGTTATATAGAAACCAAAATGTTTGTGACTCTCGACAAATTGCAAAAGAGATGTGTATAAAAAGAGTTGCGGCATTTTTATTCATTTGCCGAGTAACATGGTCACATATTTTTTGTTGAATTTAAAGATAATTGCCAAAACTCAGACGATTTTTGAATTATTTCCAAATCAGAAGTCAATATTTTAGTAGCCGAAATAATGTCAGTACTGCTGTAGTACAGGGGGATATCGTCTTAGTAAGACAACAATAAACATCTCGACTCATCCTTGAATATTTTTTATTATCTCAAAATATAGCTGCATAGATTTTGCACGATACTGGAGATCTGTTTGATGGAGCAGTGTGAACGCTCTGTACTGAACACTTTTTTATACATAACATTTTTCATGAAAAGTTTTGTAAAAAAACATTTTAGAAAAAGTGAAATTTCTTTTCATTAAAAAATTCTATTATTTAATATTTAGAAAAGAAAGACGTTTTTCATTTGAGTATTGACATATTTTGAAGAAAAATAAAAACTAATTCAACTACATTTTGATATTATTTCTTGTTCTTGTTCGACAATAATAAAAACAACTAAAATCTAAGTTAATCTTATTAAATACTCGTTACATTTTGGATTAGGTCCATCTGATGTTATTGTATATCCATCTGCACTTAATGTTAATTTAATTTGTGCACCAAATATATTAACTGCTGTTGTACTTGTTGTTACTCGTGGTAATGCAATCTTTATATTGAGATCAACATTTGGCGGACAAACACCGGCAAATTGAAATTCAAAGCCGGTTTCTGACGCTGTTGGATTTGTTACTTTAACTTGTCCATTAATACAACAACATTCGATCGGATTACATCGTGATACATGAGAAGAATAGAGACCACACCAATCAGGTATAGCACCTTCTATGGATAAAACAAAATATAAATCTTTAGTACTATCGAAAAGCACTCAGTTCTGCTTTAGCGCTAGTTTACAGAGAATTTGGTTAAAGCAAACACCGATAGCAGCGACTCATCAACTGAATTTTGTACAGAAAATGACCATTATGGTGTAAGTACTTTTCACCTGAAAATCATTCCCTGTGCAAATTCAGTTGATGATCACTGCTATCGGTGTTTGGTTTAGTTAAATTCTCTATAAACTAGCCCCACAGCACGGAATACGTTTGTCAAGTCAAACATCGATCGCGCACCCATTTTAACGTCACTATTAACAGAATATTCCTTAGAGGCATATGTACAGGGTTGCGAGAAATGTTTTGCCCGGGGGCTTATAGCTCCAATGACAAATGACATCAATATTGAATTTTATACCACATGAAAGCTCGTGAAAAATGGAGTTAACAGGTACAGTTAATAATCCGATAGACTATTGTCACCTATATAGAACGAAGTGAATTTCAAAAATTTCACATAAGACAATTTTTCCGACTGTTATGATTTCCGGTCAATATTTTCGTGACACAGTTTTAGTTCAACACGTGTTTCCTTTCTTGAAAAATGAAGAAAACGTGATTGACGTGAATGAAGTCATATTTGTTCACGATAAAGCACCGTGTATGAAAGCAAATATGACTCAACAATTGATACAAGACAACAATATCAAGCTTTGGGGTAACAATATTTGGCCCGGAAATTCACCTGATCTAAACGTAGCTGAATACATTGGAACAATGATCAAAGATGAAGTTGAGAAAAGAATACTGTCAGAGACTGGAAGTGATCGGTATAACGAAGAAACATTGGAAAATCATATCATCGATGTTTTGCAAAACATGGAAACAAACACAGAACTTTTTGAAAACCTTTTATGTTCATACCCCTCAAGATTACGTGCTGTGAAAAAAGCGAACGGTGGTCACACAGATTATTGATTATGCTAATGAACTTAAAAAAGAATAAACATTAAATTAATAAATCTACCAGTTTAAAGTCAAATAAATTTCAAATAATATCTTCTGAATAAAAGTTTTCTCAGTCGTGTTTCCTTCCCTATCCTAAAATTTCCAGTAAACCTATAGTCAGTGACTATCGATCACATTACCAACTATACCTGTTAACCCCATTTTTCACGAGCTTTCATTTGGTGTAAAAATCAATATTGATATCATTTGTCATTGGAGCTATACCCTCCGTGTAAAACATTTCTCGCAACCCTGTACACGTGTGCCCGCTAGTGTGCATTCTACCAATTGTGTATTTCGAGTCCAGAGCGATGTATAAATTGTCACTGTGTAATCTGAAATTTTATCTTCCGTTTCTCCATGGAAAAAAACTACCCTTCTGAAAATGCTTAAACAGCTAATTTCACTGAACTACAAAGGAAAAAACTGAATTCGTATGAGAGTAGTCCTCTTTTGAATATAGAATAGAACCGAAATTTCATCAGACAAGAACAGGAAACAATAGAACTACAGTAACTAGGAAGACAATTGGCTGAGATGGCTAATAAGACGTCTAGCTCTGTGACAACTCGCAAGTGCTAATTTCGAATTGTCTATTGGATATGTTTTCTCCTTTCTATTCCATGATAAAAAGGAAAGCGATCCTACTCAACTTTAGAAAAGTTCTGATGTCCAGAGTGAGGACTCTTTAAAGGTTCCATGATGAATCGGTTTCCTTTCTAGAGCGCAGTAAATTTTTTCCTAGATATTTGTAAGCTGTCGTTGTAAGTTTTCTTTATAGAAACTTAAAAATTTATTTGATGTAGATAAGTTTTATATGTCACAGACTATATTCACTGTTCTGTTTTGCGGCATTCTTTCGTGCTTATATATCTCAACGCATACTCATTTCGTAGAAAATGAAAAACATTCTAAATTTATAGTGAGTGAATTCGACATGAGTTCTACAATGCTATAAAGAATAGTGAGTTTTCACTGCATTTGTAAGCTCGACGAGGGTAGTTATATGAGCCCAAAAAAGAGTTGTCGATGGTTGAGTGTTTTTCGAACATAAGGAAAAAAATCAGTTTTAGGTCACTTACTGGTAACTTGACTTAAAGTTAAAAGTCCGATCATAAGAATGCCAACTAGTGATTGATTCATCATGGATTGTCCTGTCGTTAATGTTAAACTACTTTAATACATCTGCACATTGTACTTGTATAAATATATACGAAAATTGTTTAATATATAAGCAAATACTAAAAGATCATATTTTTAAAGAGTACTTGTTGTTTTGTTTTTGTGTAGTTCTACCAATATCATCCTTACGTAGCAAGAATCAAATATAAGAAACTATTTGCTTTGGTTAAATTTTTCTACAAGGAGTAGAGAGTATTAATACGCAGCAAAAAACAAAATATCTTTTTGTTTTTGTATTTTAGAAGAGACTTGTGACTTCATTAAAAAGAAAGCAATGTCAGATTGATTACAATTTTGTTCCAATCTTTATATTCCATTTTTCCATATGTTAACTAAGACAAAATTGTAATCAATCTGACATTGCTTTCTTCTCTGATGGAGTCGCAAGTCTCGTCTAAAATACAAAAAATAAAACATATTTTGTTTTTTGTTATGTATTAATACTCTCTACTCCTTGTAGAAAAATTTAACCAAAGCAAATAGTTTCTTATATTTGATTCTTGCTACGTAAAGATGATATTGGCAGAACTACACAAAAGCAAGAATAACAAAAAGTACTCTTCAAAAATATGACCTTTTAGTATTTGCTTATATATTAAATAATTTTCGTATATATTTATACAAGTACAATGTGTAGATGTATAAAAATAGAAGAAGTTTAACATTAACCATTAAATAATCCATGATGAATCAATGACTTTGTTTAGGTTACTAAAATACTGAATTCTGATTTGGAAATAATTTAAAATTTGATCTGATTTTGGTGGTTACTTTTAAACCCAGGGCTGGCAACTCCCGCTCCGAAGTTGAGAATTTTTTTGGTGGAGTTGGAGCCGGGGTTGGAGTTGGGTTTTTGAATATTTATTCTCAACTCCGTTTTGCATTTTTGGAAATATTCAATAATTGTAAACTGATGTTCTAAACGATTGAGTGGCTGTATTCACGAGTGAATTCGGAAGTTCTTTTGCGCTTTCCTGCTGGAAAAAGCTCAAAACGTTCAGAATCCTGCTAAAAACTAAGAAATCTTCCGTACAAAAGTGAAGCAATCGGACGGCTTGTCTAAGCATGACGCTATGACATTTTTGACACAGTAATTTGAGCTTTTCTGAAAAAGTGTAAGAGCTAGAAACTTCGTTCTTGTGCCATTCGACGCAGCTCGCCATACTCTACTTTTGTTATAAAAATGAAGGTATGTGGTTAAGGACTCGAATTTTTAGAACCGTTTTTCGGCGCGTGAATAATAAACCATATGATGTCAAGCGAATAAAAGGAAGAAGTGATGAACAGTTGATTTACTCTCTACCATCTCATGCTTTTTTCAATAAAGTCACTCACACAATCGATTATCAATTGAGAAGTGTCTGTATTACTAGTTTGATTATTCAACATAAGAAGTTCAATAGACAAATTAATAGGGTCTAAAAGTTTGAAGACTACCTTACGAATTGTATCATACAATTTGCAGTGAAGAAGAAAATGTTATATTGTCTCCTCGCTACCGTCACCACAGGAGCACAGAGGCGAATTAGTGCAACCCCGTTCATATAAGTAGAAATTCAGCTGCGGAAAATTACATCTCAATCGCATGAACAGGCTTTCAGACGTTCTATTTAGAAAAGTAATGTGTGTGGGAAAAACGAGCTTCTCCCTTTTATCAATGAATGATTTTTTCAGTTTATACTTTATTGTATTGATTTTTAAAACACACAGTGATGGAAATGTTATCAAGAAAGCATTCCATTCGTCTGTGGCTACCGTAAAAAAATCTCTAGCGCGTTCAACTGGTACCAGTCGTCCCCCACTTCTTAGATTATATCTCTGATTTTGATGTCGCTGAATGTACTCAGTTAAATTAGAAGCTGTGCAACCGCGTATAATTTTTACATAATGTAGCAAACGATTGATGTAGAAAAGATCGTATAGGTTTCACCATCCCAAACTAGATAATACTCTTTCACTTGATGTGCCTTTCATACAACCTAACACAACAAGACCAGCATGATACTGAATTGTTTCCATTTTTTTGAGATTGTCTTCAGTTGTGATAGCAAAAAGGACCGAGTCATAAATAAACAAATTAAGGACATACGACTTATATATCACATCAAGCGTTTTTCTATTTAACAACCGTTGACTGTATCTCATAAGACCGATAAATTTACAATCTCGTATTCTTTGATCGGATTTCCACTAAGAATGAGAGGAGGCAACTGTGAAGCTCTTGATCTATACCAACAACTAGAGAACGTTAGCGATTCATATTTTTTGAGATTAAGATTCAAGCCCCACGATACAGACCATCCTTCGACTCGAGAAAGATCATCATTTAGCATGGTAGTTGCAATAATAGGGTCAGAGTGGTAGGAGAAAAGAATAGCACCGTCAGCAAAGAGACGAATATTAGTTTTGATTGTTAGAGCCAAACCATCAATATAAATTAGGAACAATAATGGACCAAGCACTGATCCTTGAGGGACTCCTTTGTTTATTTTTAATGATGATGACGTTACACCCTCCAAAATTGTTCTTGTTGATCTCCCAGATAAATAATTCTCAAGCCACTCGAGCGCTTTCCCTCGAATACCTTTCCTTTCTAATTCCAGCAAAAGTGCCTTATGATCTACATTATCAAACGCCTTTTGAAAATCTAAGAGACTTACGCGGACAATCTTGTTTTTTTCCATCTCTACATTTATTTTATGAACTACGTCAAGTAAGAGATTAGTTGTTGAGTTTTTCTTAACAAAACCTGATTGAAAAACAGACAACAGCTTGTTTTTCATCAGATAATCATATAATCGTTGGTGTACAATTCTCTTACATACCTTCGAGATCGCTGGCAAAAGCGTTATTGGGCGATAGTTGGTAGGATCAAGCGAATCTCCTGACTTGAACAATACATTCACAAAGCCATCATTCCAGTGATCTGGAAAAGATGCCGTGTTGAATGATTGGCGAACGACATGTGTTAAGCACGGTGTTATAGAGGGTTCAAGAAATCTTAGCATTCTATTGGTTATTGTTGGAACTGTTGATTTGTTGCAGTTCAATCTCTGCAAAGTTTTTTTGACATCACTATACATAGCAGTGAATACGCTTAAACGAGATGAAGTTAGTGGCAACTTTTCAGCAGCAGAGAAAAAATTAGATGAACCACTCCACGTACAAGTATTAGCAAAGTGTGCATTTAGAATTTCAACTTTGCTCTGGACATCTACTCTCACATCTCCATTATTATCTTTTAATGCTGAAATGGCTGTCGTACGAACACGACCCATTGTATGTTTAACAAGGGACCACCAATTTTTCGACGAAACTGGCACTTTATGATTTATTTTATTATAGAAATCTACTTTCGCCTGCACACATGCTTTACGAAACTTGACAACAGCTTGGTCATAGATATTTTTGTTAACTGATGTGGGTTTACTAATCATTTTACGATACATTCTTACTTTACCTTTATGTAAGACACGAAGGTCATCAGAGAACCAAATTTTATCCCTTGGCTTTAGAGTAATGACTTTGTGCGGTATTGCTCGATTGACCTGTTCAAGAAGAATCTCATCAACTGCTACTGCTTTTTCATCAGTGTTGTTATAATTTTGTAAGAGAATATCAAATGGGATCCTACTACAAGTATTGTTCAATAGCTCCCAGTTTGCGCATTTATAATCATAAATGGTCCGCGTTATTTTAGTTTTACGTAGTGCTTGTGTTGTAACATCGAAATGGATGAAACTATGATCACTTTTGTCAAGCTTAGGAACTATACGCACATTACGAACGAAGGAGGTGTCATTAGTGATTACTAAGTCAAGGCAAGTACCTGAAATCGGTCGTGTTACACCCACTACCAGTTGAGAGAGATTGTGTGATTGTAGGAAAGTATTTAACATAATACTCTCTGCTGTGAATACAACATTGTTCCCACTCTAATCCTGGTAATGCGCATTAAAGTCTCCAATAAAGATAAGGATATCCTTACTGTATCGCGACTTTAGAAAATTATTGATTAAGTTTTCAAGATGCGTTAGAAACGGCTGCATCTTTTTAGAATCGGACTGAGGTGATCGGTAGCAAGAAAAAACAGTCACATGCTTATGTGAAGAGAGTGTAACACGCGCACAGAGGATCTCAAACGATAATTCTTCAAATTGTGTTAATCGTGCTCCATGATAATCATTACGAGTAAGTACCGCACAGCCACTACCATTTCTATTACGATCCAAGCGCATAGGAGGGTGATAGCGGGGTAAAGTAATTTCAAAATTGTTTATTGTTTCATCCAACCAAGTTTTGGTTAAAGAGAGAAAAGTAGGTTGATATAACGACACATACGCTTTCACAGAATCGATTTGTGATGTGACACTGCGTATATTCATAGAAGAGAAAGTCAAGTCTGTTGTCACTTTGTTGTTTTGACTAACACTCATGGTGGAAAAAATATTCGGTAAAATACAAGACACTTGACAACACATGGTAAGAGAAAAAGACAATATGAATTGTCGTATTTCAGATAGTTTAGTATATTAGAAGAAAGAGAAGGCGAAATGAAAGTCACTAAAAATATTGTGTTAGTAGACGAAAGAAAATTAAAAGAAAAGAAACATAAAGAAAAGATACAATCTGACTGAAGAAAATTGAATTTGTCCATAAGAGTACTAGACAGAGATATGGAGTAACACACACATCTAAATATTCACTGTATGACTAAAACTGTTTAAGACGATTGACTACATCGAACGATGACAAATGTAAATTATTACCTTGACCTTGATACAGCATTACGCTCCCATTCCGTGTGAACACTTTCTTCTTATCCAGATGACGACGAGCATAAGTAAACAATTGATGATTCAACGAGGATAAATGCTCGTTTATCAAAACGTGTTTATTAGTACCTTTGCCCAGATCTCTAAGTTTTGAATATAATTGATGCCTACCTGAGTAACGTACAAAAGCCACAATAATGGGTGAACGTTGTTGTTTACTATGTGGTCATAGACGATGAGTTGCATATAGATCTTTAATATCCAAATTAACACTAACTGATTTGGCCAAATCTAATACTACTTGTGATGGATTTTCTCCCGGTGTTAGAGGAATACCATGTATTATTAAATCACGCCGCTTTGAATATTGATCTAAAACATCTAATTTCGATTGAAATTTGACTGCACGAGCATTTATTTGTTTTAATTCCGCTTCTAATTGTTCGCTATGATTCACGTATTGTTTCAATTGAGTTTCTATAATACCTCCAATTGCGTCAGTAAACGATTTTGATGTTATTATCATCTTTGTCATTTCATTAATAAAATTTGAAGATAACAAAGACCGTTGTAATTGTAAACCAATTACATCCGATGCAACAGTTGTGATTGAAGTCGTATCGAATTGCGGTGATTTTTGATTGTTTATTATCCTGATTTTCAGGTGATGTAAGATTACGTTTTTTGCCAGTCATTAAATCAATCACAATAATAAAAAGAACAGTCGTATTTTGTTGTATATGTGTGTCTTTTCTATCCTTTAGAAACGCGTTGACCACATGAAGAAGAAAAGAGAATTTAGGGTTTCAGGAAATGAAAATACTAGTTCTCTTGGCTGTTCGCAAGGGTTATACGACATAGTTTGTCTGTCTGTTCGCAAGACTTTATTACTCATCGAGGAAAGACGTGTAACCATCAGACTTTCACAGTAGAGGTAATCGACTCGGTCGGTCATAGTTTCCTTCATTTGAATGATGTTTGAAGCATCTTAGTCGGCATCCACTGCGAAGGCCTTCGCTGTTCTCTTCTCGTTAGTAAGCTTTTGCCCATAAAAACCTTTCTACTTAACTGACTCATTCGAAATTTTTACCACAATCCTAGAGAACGTACTTGATGCAAGTACTTGATTACTTGCTAAGTACTTGTGAACGATCGAAATACTTGCCTTATTGTTAAGAAGTACTTTCTAAAAGTACGTGACAAGTAAGGACAAGTACTTACAAGTAAATTTACTTCTGGAAAGTAGACAAGTACCGGCTTCATTACGCAGACGAAGTACTTAGTCCAAGTACTTGGCCCCATGTACGTTCTCTAGGGAATCCAAGCATTCTACCGTGCATCCAAGCACTCTTTGGACACAGATTCAATGGGGTAACCCGATTTCAGTGCCATTGGACTGGAGAGATGAGAGCTAAAGTTTAGAAGAAAAACGTTTTTTAGTTGATTTCTGGCGGTTTTTGGCCACCTTTTAAGCAGAAAGCATTTTTCATGAGAATTGTCAAGCTTTAAGACTGTTCTCAGGATAGTGTATAGTTCTCGAGGCATCAGCTGTCTTACATTTCGGAAGATGCTCGTGCATATTTCTTAACAATAGAATTATTTTCGACCAAAATGCATTCCAGTCACTGGCATATCCGTTGCATATCGAAGAAGCCTTAAATATTACTTACTTTACTTTTTTGTCCTGCTGCTTTTTTCGTAAAGTGCTAAATGTAATTTAAATAATTTTTTCTTATGGAGCATCGCGGAAAGGAAACTTTTTTCCTTTAGAAGAGAAAAGAAGATATAATAGATTGTTATGAGTAGAATTTTTAATTAGATCTCAGTTAGTCTTTAAAGTCTACTTGATTCTGGTTTTGAATTTTTCCACATTTTCAGCTTTGAAGAGGTATAATAAGTAATAGAAACTATCTATCCCTGTTTTTCGGATGATTTTTGTGCTCACTGTGATGAATTCTACTAGTCCTGAAAGCGTCACACAGTTGGCAGAAAGTCCATGTAAATGTGGTACATTCTCCAAAGAATAACCTAGACGTCTTAGAAAAGGAATATAGGTTATCCACTGAGTAAAGCTTTCGTTTTCCAGATACGAAATATATATAATAACTATGACATAACACCAGATGGTACATATATCGTTAGAAAATAAACGGCTATGAACACAATCTGTTGGAACTTTTAAATAATTCTAAATTAATGCAAACTAATTTCTGATCAAAAAAACATGAAAAATTACTTCTAATCAATTTAAATAGCCAAATTAATTTAAATTCGTCTGTAGTAAATTAATTTACATCAACTTCGCAATTAAAATTAACTAAAATTAATGTCTAGGCTAAAATTAGTTCCAGTTATTTTGAAAACACATTAATTTAAATTAGTTTAACTAAACTGGTTTAAATTAATTTATTTCGAACTCGTTCGAAATAATTTCGTGCTTTAAATTGCTTCAAATTAATTTCTATTCTCAAATTCATTCAAAAATATATTTTTGTAATAGAAAATTTATTGAAATAATTTGATAATTTAAATTAGTTTTAATTAAGTTTAAGAGTCGAAATTAAAGTGACGCTACAAAGTTTAGCACACTTTTTATTTCCTCTTTTTTTCCGAAACAAAAGACTTTCAAAACGTTTCAAAGTGTGCTATAGACAGCCTATATCCGAGGCTATCATAACCATATAAAATGTGCGGCTACAAAGAAGCACTGAGATTTCAAGAAGCGAAATCGGTTTTTCTCATGGATCAAAAGTTTAGCACACTTTTCTTTCTTTTCAACTCTTTCTCATTTTATGTTAGTTTAGAAAAAGTTGACTTACACACCATTAAATAAAGACTTATAACTTTTGAATGACAAAACATATCGAACGCATAAATATCGTTGACAACATTTTTCTCATTAAAATGAGACGTTCTTGAGCTCGATATAGCTTGGCATTCAAAAGTTATAGTAAAATACGAAAGTATCCCAAAAATGCTGTAAAAAGCGCCATGTTACAAATGCGGTGTATTCTCGATTGGTCGACAGGCTCCTAATTGTTCTTAATTGTCGACACTGGTTTTTTCTGGAACGGTCGACACACTGTTTAATCCCGATTTGTCGACAGTTTATTTTTCCTGAAAAGCCGACACACCTGGATCAAAGGCTACCGACAATTCCTTAATTGTCGACACTTTTTCTTCTGTAATTAACCTTATGCATATACATGAGTAGAAAAATAGTA